GGGGCAAGAAAGGACGATAGGAGGGAGGGGGAGAGAGGGAGGGAAGGGTGGTGTGGGGAGAGGGAGATGGGACGGATAATAGGAGGGGAAAGGGAGGGAAGGGGAGGGAGGAGGGAGGGGACGGTAGAAAGGGGAGGGAGTGAGGGAGAGAGTGGAGGGGCAGGCAGGGAGGGGTTTTCTGAAGAATGGGGGAGGGGGAGGGGAAGTCTGAGGGGGGGGGGTACGGGTAGGAAGGTAGGGTTGGCATTAAAGAAGGGAGGGGAGAGGGGTGATCTGAGGGGAGGTTCGAGGGAGAGAAGAACAGTCTGGGGGCTAGGAGGTGAGGGGAAGGGGGGGGGAGAGGGGGAGGGGACAGAGAGGGGAGGGGGGAGGGGGAGGGGGTCAGAGGAGGGGAGTGGGGAGGGACGGTCAGAGAGAAGGAGGGGAGGGGAAGGAATCGAGAGAGAAGGGGGAAGGGGGGGACATCAGAGAGAAAGGAGGGGAAGGCAGGGAGGGGAGGATGATCTATTTTAAGCTGGGGGGGGGGGGGGGGGGGGGTATTATCGAGGGGTGGGGTAGGCACCCAAAGAGGGGGGGAGGGCAGGACATTCCAGTGGGTAGGGGGGGAGGGGGGGGGGCGCAGAACATAACTGGTGGTTGAGCACGAACAGGTCGCCTTGCATGACCTTGCCAATGTATGTCGACGAGACTGGTCCTTTGCATCCAATTTTTCTTTCTTTCTTCTTTCTTCTTCTTTTCTTTTGTTTGTCATAAAGTCCATTTGTTCTTTTTTTTTCTTTCTTTCTTGCCTTAAAGTTGGTTTCCATTTCATTTTCTTTCTTTCTTTTTTGGGTATGAAGTTGATTCCTTTTTTTTTCTTTCTTTTTTTGCCATAAACTCATTCCATTTTTTTCTTGTTTTTACATTTTTTCTTTTTTTTTTATAACGCTGATTCCAGTTTTTTTTTTCCAACATCAAGTTTATTACTTTTTTTTTTTTTTTTTTTTGCATAAAGCTGATTCTATACCATCTTTTTTCCATCTTCTTTTTTCCCCCTTTTTTTTTGCCCAGTCAGCACTCGGAAAACAATCACAAAATCTCGCACAGCACGAAGGTAATAAATTACGAGATTTAGTGAAACATTCGCCCCCCCCCTCCCCCTCTGCTCTTTATCGGATTTGATACGGAATTCGAAACATCGTATTTTTAGAGAAGGCTCGTCTGATGTGCTCTCCAGTATGCTATATCCTACGGTACTGTTGTGTAAGAAAGACAGACAGACAGACAGACATATAGATAAATTGGGAGAGAAGAGAGAGAGAGAGAGAGAGAGAGAGAAGAGAGAGAGGAGAAGAGAGAGAGAGAGAGAGAGAGAGAGAGAGAAGAGAGAGAGAGAGAGAGAGAGATAAATCAAAATAGAAAGAGAAAGAATAGATATAATATATATATATATATATATATATTATATATATATAGAGAGAGAGAGAGAGAGAGAGAAGAGAGAGAGAGAGAGAGAGAGAGAGAGAGAGAGAGATTAAATCATAAATAGAAAAAGAAAGATATATATATATATATATAATATATATTATATAAATATATATATATATTAAAAGAGAGAGAGAGAGAGAGAGAGAGAGATAAAAGATAGAGAAGAGGAGAGAGAGAGAGGAGAGAGAGAGAGAGAGAGAGAGAGAGAGAGAGTGAGAGAGATAGAAAGAGAGAGGAGAGAGTGAGATAGATAGAGAGAGAGAGAGAGAGGGAAAGAGAAGAGATAGAATAGAAAGAGAGAGAGAGAGAGAGGAGAGAGAGAGGAGAGAGAGAGAGAGAGAGAGTGAGAGAGAGAGAGAGAGAGAGAGAGAGAGAGAGAGAGAAGAGAGAGATAAGAGAGAAGAGAAGAGAAGATAAACAGAATAGAAGAGAGAGAGAGAGAGTACGACCCAAAGTACGAACGCAGTCGTGCGTGACGAGGATAACTTGCAAGTACAACTCACGACCTTGGCCTCCTCTCGTTCCTTGAGGTCGTTGGGTCGACAGAAACTCCAGACAACTTGGCTTCATTACGACTATCAAGAGAGAAAGATTTGCGTCAATTTTTATTTGATCAATCATTTCTGGGGAGAAATAATCGGTTCATCTTGATTATTCATCTTCATTTCTTTTATGTTTTCCTTTTTCGTTTTCATTTTTATTTTATTTTATTACTTTTTTCTGTACTTTTGAAGTTCATTTTTTGCAGTTGCATAAACAGAGGATTCGCTTGCAATCGGCGTGCAATCTGGCATATCTGACTCGAGCTGCTACGAGAGGCGAGAGTGTGTGTGTTTGATAATAACCTTCTGCCTTGTTTATGGGTATTTCGTCTTCTTTGTTGCAGACCGGAATTTTGGATGCATTTCTTGCTCGAGATTTTTTTTTTTTTTCTTCTTTTTCTGTTTCTCTGTATCTCTCTCCTGCTCTCTTCTCTATCTATCTATCTATCTACCTCTGTCTGTCTGTCTGTCTGTTTGTCTCTCTCTCTCTC